TTATTATTATTATTATTATTATTATTATTATTATTATTATTATTATTATTATTATTATTATTATTATTATCATTATTATTATTGTTATTATTTTTGTTGTTATTATTATATTATTATTGGTGCTAATTATTGAATCTGATTTTACAAAATTATCCCAATTCCACTGTCACAAACGTCATCTTTTTTTCTTTCTTTCTTTTTCTCTATCTCTTCCTCTTTTTCATTGCAAAATTTATTATTATCAAATAATCATGCTAAATTTAATTTAGATTCATACAATTTCACATGAAATCGGCCATGCATTAGGCTTTTTACATACTCATACTCGATCAGATCGTGACCGATATATTTGGATTAAATTTAATAATATCCAAGTAAATTCTTTCATCTTTTTAATTTGAAAATTATTTTGAAAAAAATACTAAATGAAAAATTATAAGAATCAGGTATGATTTTCAGTTTCGATTTTATTTTAAAAATAATTAAATTTTAATAAATCAGTTATTCATCACATTTTGCGAATATCAATATTTAACAATCAGAATTGTAGAAATTTAAATATGGTCGTTTAGATCAGTGTGCATCCAAAAAGTAATAATGTGACAAATATATGACAATGATACAATTAAGAATATAGTTTTTTTTTTGCAAGCATTTGCATAACTGATTGTTAAATAATTATATTCAAAATCAATAGTTCACTTCAATTCAATTATTTTTTTTTAAATCATTGAAAGTTTTTTCGACTGAAGCTTATTAATTATGAAATTAAGGTTGGTTTATCGCCAAATTTTGTGCGCACATCACAACAAGATAATTATAATTATGGTCTTCCATATGATTATGGTAGTGTGATGCATTACAGTAAGAAAGCGTAAGTTTAATTAATTAAAATTTTATATCAATAAAAAAAGTTTGACATACAAATTCAATTTTACATTAAATTGCAATCGTGAAATTTGATTTTTTTTTTTTGTAGGAATTATTATGACACATACGAAATTGCTCATCTTACAGGTTTACTAGTAACAGTAATCCAACAATTATTCCCCGGATATCCTGGTACGAGGATACGATGGGTAGTGGTACTGGGCCAACATTTATCGATATTCTCATGATGAATACACATTATAAATGCTTAGGTGTGGCTATTTTCATTTGCTAATATAATAAACAATAAGTGTCGTGGAATTTCACCAATAATTTTAGGCAAAATTTTACCATTTCAAATAACTTATTAACTATACATCTATTTTCTCATTCATTTGTTTATTTGCTTACTTATTTATTTATTTATTCATTCATTCATTCATTTATTCATCAATCTATTCAATCGTATTCATTCTAATGAGTAATTTTAATAAAACAAAAAATTTGAAGACAAAAATTTGTAATTAAGAAAATTATTAAGAAAAATTAAGAAAAATGTAATTAA